CATCTTTTATTCTTTTTTTTTCTTGCTTTTAAATCTGAGCTGCCATAAATGGACATTATCTACTTTTATAAGTGCTTGGCTTTGATGCTTGGTCAGCTTAAAAAAACAAGTTCCTGCTCTGAAAAACAGTCACATGACTATTTATTTGTTTATTTTAAGCAACATTGTAGTGATAGAATCTGATCTATAGACAATGAGATTTTCAAAGACAAAGCAAATATATTGTTGTATCCAAGCATTACATTCATTGATTTTATTATTTTTTGTGCTTATCACAGTTTTGTGGTATTTTTGGGATTTCAGGGACTATGATTAACCCTCAATGGTTGATTTTCTTTACTTTCTTTCTTTCATTCAGGACAGAAGACATGTGATGAGCCCAGACCCAACCGTCTGCACCTGACTGTATTTTTCAAAATAAACTTCCGATTTTGGCCACAGTTGATATTGCTGTGGCGGCATTGATGTGGTGTTGAAGCACAAGTACGCTATGGACCTCAGTTGTACCTACTTGGATCCTAATTTGACTTAAAATCCAAATGGACTTCACGTGTATGAACAACATTGGGAGGAAGAAAATGAAACCTCACATTTTCAAGTAACATCTAATGTCCACACATCCTTGGAGTTGTGAACCAGATTATGGAGTTTGTTTTTATTTTTCTGAGGGAACTGTATGAAATGATTCTTTGGACTGCACCATGTGGGCATTCCTGGATACGCTGCACTGGAAAAAGGACTGCAAACCTGACTGTTTGAGTGCATTTGTGGGCGTGTTTGTGTATGCCCAAGGTGGTCTGACACAGTGGAGGTGAGAGGGGAACACATTTCCAGACCATTTTGTCTTTACAATGAGAGTTCCAGCCAGTGCGGCTGCAGTTTCCTGTATTTGTCCTCTGGTGGCCTTCCTATGTGTTGTCTCCCAGAGTTGTTATGGGACCCGGGTCAATCTGAGCCCTCACTCTAACCCCAACCTGTACCCAAACCAGAGACTGAAGTCAGTACCTGAACCAACCCCAATTCCAAGCAAAACTGCTAAGAAACACAAGACTGCTCTGATGCCCAGCCAACTCTTGAACACTGCCAAAAATGTCCGGAGCAAGTTTCAGGTAAAGCCAAGACTTGATACTATGTTCTATCTCACAGACACCCACATGTCTAACACACCCAAATTTCCATCAGCAATCTCTCAGGCTGCATCAAGCTCAAACACTAGACTCAAACACAGTTCTGATTCAAGGCAAGGGTTGCCATACAAATCAGCATCTCAGCAGTTGACAAGACACACCTTGAACAATACCAAGCAAGTTTCAAAAATCAACTCCAAAACTGTACCAAAACCAAGGCTTGGATCTTTGTTGCAGCCCAAGCCCAAGGCAGGTCCCAACTCCAAGGTAGTGACTGGGCCTAAGACCAATCCTGAGTCAGACCCCAGCACCAAATTATCTTCAATTTTCAGTCCTAATCAAAGGTCCAACACATCTGCTATGATGAGCCCAAGCACCTCCTACAATGCCAGCCCAGCTTCGCTATCCAATTCCAAAGTCAGACCTTCTTCACAAACAAATACAAAATTGGACGCCAAGAGCACCCCCTCAATCTCCAGAACAGCCACCAGAGCACAAAGGAACCAAACCAAGTTGTTGGACACAGACAAGGATTCTCACCATCGGCCCAAGAGAGGCTGGATCTGGAACCAGTTCTTTGTTTTAGAGGGAAATATTGGACCTGAGCCTCAGTATGTCGGAAAGGTAAGAAATCTTTTTTTTTTTTTAAGTGCAACTGGTAGATCAATTTTCCATTAGCCCTTATTCTCTTCTCTGAACATGTCTTGAGCAAAGAACACCTGTCCCTGATTTATTGCAGTTGTATTATTATTAACTTGATCATTAATCAAGTCATTTTTTTACATTTCTAAAGCTTGCTTTGCCTTGTTAAAACCATTACTAATGTGGGAAGCATTTTATATTTTTATACCTATACCTTTATTGCTGTGTATTTTCAGTTTATTATGTATCACATGATGTAACTGTAAAATAGTGTTTGCATCATTTCAAACATAGAGACACTCATAGCATCAAGCCTTCAGAAGTTGAATTGTTGTTATTGCAGCCCATATTTTGAAAGGGTCACAACATATGGAGGGAATTCAATTAACTGCAGAGCTGGGGAACAGGATGGAAAATGCTGAATATTTAGGAGGAAAACTGTGAGAAACCTCACAGGTACAATCAATATAGATGAATAAATACCTGAGCCCATTATCCAGTGCATCCAACCTGGGGAAATCTCTCTGAGGGAGAGGTTCAGTTTTTTCAGTGTTTTTCTACAGTACTCTCTGAATGTGAATGTAAAAATAACCTTGACGCATGTGTGGTACACAGATAGAATGGCTCATCTTTGCAATTTTACTGCATACACCTGTTCACCAAGTGTAGATCGTCCACAATGCTCCATCGTAGATACAGTATATAAAGCTATACCCTCTTGAGTATTAAAAGGCTGCATACTGGAGAACCATCTCTTAACATAAAACTAAAACATTTCACCAGTGAAAAAGAGGCATGTGTTGTCAGATATTAAAACTGCAATCAAAACACAGGATGCAAAAATTGTTACTTCCATCCAAAGAACTGGTCGGAATCATGCCAATACAGAGGATACAGATTTTTCGAACCTTTTCTGCTAATAAGATGCCAACTCAACATGGATTTTAGGTTTAAGGATTTACAATTAATCTGATGCTACTACTTACTGTCTACCCACTGCTGCTCAGTGGGTGGAAGAGACTGAGACATGGGTACTTTTTGGATTCACACATTCTGTGTATTGCATTGAAAACTAGTTGTTAAATCTTTCTATATCGACTGTCTTTCTAAACAGCAAGGATGCCTTAGAGATTTTTAAAAATTACAATTTAAAATGGAAGCAAAATAAATTCTTTAAGGACTTAAAGGATAGACAGACAACAAAAGCTCCAGCGGAGGACCTGGTTTACGCAGCCGATGCCGGCTAGTGCATCACCAGCTTGTTTTACTGTTACAGATGAAGAATTAAACTAAATTGACACATTTCAATAAAAACTTTATCATAAAAGCCAAAGGTTTAAACTTTCAAATGGTTTGTTTAGTCATGTTTCTATCTGGAACAGAGGCAGAGAAATAAAGGGTTTTTGTTGTTGATGGCAGCCACTGCTTCTTCTTAAAGCATTTCAAAATGCTCCACCTCAGCTTCCACTGCAGAAAAGTTAATGTTGTCGCTCTTAGCTCCCTGTTGTGTTGAGCTCAGTGTTTCTTAGGGCCAGGGTCAGATTATAGGATTAACTGAATTAAAACACTCTTCCCTTTTCACAAGTGGATCTGTAGTTAAATTACGTTGATGGGGTATTTCATCATGACATTTTAAACAGGATAAATTAGCCAAAACGTCTCCAACTGGTTTGTATGTTTAAGAGTATCATTCATCAATTTAGTAAAATCCATTCAGCAGCAGTTTGAGCAGCACAGAGACAAATACCTCTGATTAGGAATCTATGATTTAATCAAACTAAAATCTCAAATTAGTGTGTTAGTTAAACATGATTCTGTTTCTCTTATCAGACACTAAATTACCAAAGAACAGACATTTGATTGTGGCTCACAAAAAACACAAAATCAGTTTCACTGTAATCTTACCCTGTGTGACACTGGCAGATTATTCAGACCAATGCTTAGTTTAACCAAGGTTTAAATCAAAAGACAAACAACACTAGCAAGGGTCACACGGAAAAGCAACACCATGCATGTTCTATATATGTGATCATGATGGGCGTACAAACCATGAGACTCTCAGACAAGCAGTTCATAAACTTGTGAAACATTAAAATTGTAATTTTATAGAAGGATAATATTCCAAGAACATATTTATGATAATATTTTTTTAGAGTAACACAACCAATTGTTAGAGAGGGAAATGTTACTTAACAGCAGATCAATACAGTAAACAAACAGACAAAGAAACCTTGAACGGAACCCAGAAGAGAGAAAAGGAACATTTTGTTCAGCACATTTACATAGTAATTGGCAGACATGTTCATTCACAGCTTTGAAGTGAGGTACAATTGAAGCAAACAGAAAAGTGGTTTTGAAAAACAGACTCTTTTAAGTGCCAGATGGGGAGAAGACACTTTTTTTAATTAGGTGCATGAAAATTTGTGGACAAATAGAAAAGTAGGTTAGAGGGCCATAACTTCCTAAATGTGGACACATTCAGGCATTGAACAACAGTTACCGAACCATTTTAAATCCTAAGGGTTAGTGTGGTAAATAACTTATTGTTGATTGTGGAATATGGCTGCAGATACAGAGCTAGAGAGGACGTGTTGGGATTTCGAACAGGTTTCTCAGGGCAGACATCTGTGCAATAGGTCAGTATTTAGAAGGCATGGTGACAAATGCATGGATAAGCTTAATAAAGTTGTTTTACATAAGAATAGATAAAAGATAAGATGAGAGAAGATAAGATAAGGTAATACTTTGGTTACAGCCCCCTTCCCACCTAGACATGATACATGATGAGTCGTAAAGATAATGAATGGATGGATGGAAGCTAATCCTTTATTAGTCCCACCACCATGGGGAAATGTGCAGTGTTACAGCAGCAACGGGGATTGTAAAAATTGGAAAGCATCAGTAGAACAAGTACTGTAATAAATAA